CATAATTGGTAACTTTTATGGAAATGTATACCAACACCTATTTTGAATCGTTTATAAAAGAGCTGGCCATAAAAACTTAACATCTTTTAAAACTTAGGTAAATCAACTAGAAAGGGAAATGGCAGCCAGTAATAAAACTTTGCCTACTATGATCAACTATATATATACAATGAATGAGATTCTAAGCTTTATAAATTCTTTCTTTTATTTTCATTAGAGTACATCAAAAATTGAAGAAACATCACAGATTTGTGGAGATCTTATCACTGATAACTTTTTATAATTTCACATGGACATATCTGCCTTTGTTGCCTTATTTCATCTGCAAATCTTACCACAGCAAATAAATACCATTGGTCACTTTGTTGCCTCCAAATGGATAAACCAATTTTTTGCACTGAAACTTTACAATTCTTTCCTTCCCTCACTGTACCAATGGTGTACAAACAAATTCACAAGATTATTATCCAAAATAAAATAAAAAACTGTAGGACTTTACTAATTTAATCTCTTATATTCTAATATAAAAACATTATAATATTTACATTTATCCACTTACTGTTAAAGTTTCAATTATTGATCTAAAAAATATTTCTTCTAATGCCAATGTAAGCTCACATTCTACAATTGCTCTAATCATGAATACTTAAATTGCCATATATAGTATTCCCTATTTAGGGATCTTCTCTGATTATAAAAAACTATGTATGACAAGAAATAATATTATGCCACTTTCATTCAGTGATTATTAAAATATTAGTTTTCCTATATTCTTAGAGTATACATTAGGACCAAGTACTATAAGCATTAATTTAGAAATATGTATCAATTATTGTTATACTCACAGCACCAGTTTCATCTCGAAGTGTTGAAATTCTCCCACTCAGCAAACTGGAAGTCATTAATAATCTAAAGTTAGTTTTTAAAATCTGAGTATAAACAAATGTGATAATTTTTTATCAAATGTTAAAGACCACTAAGAGTACGTTATCTATCTTCCAAGTTTATATATATATATATATATTTTAAGAGTTAACCTTTTCTATTAAAAAAAACAATTTAACTGACAAAAATTATATTTTGGTAAATAAATGTATTAAAATATACACTAAAGAATTATAAGACATACCTGGAAAAAAACGAATCTGGAATCCACATAAGAGTTTGTCTTGAGGTACTAAATCTGCAATTAAAAATCATCTGGTATTATAAATAAGAATATGATTTGAAATTTCAGTATTAGTTAACTTGTTTTCATGTGCTGGCTAATGATTTACAAGATGTTTTATAGTTATAGCTGTAACAATATATTTATTACAGTTAGTATTTTTAAATGTTGCTTTCAATTCAGAGTTAAGATTATATAAACAGCTCTCAATAACAATAAACAACTAGTTATCTGCCATATAATGCATTTTAAAACACTACTTTCCAATAAGCTAATCTCTGCTGAAGAATCAACAATTAGCCCATCACACCAAGTCTCAACTTCTCAGTACAACATTCAAAATTACCTTCAGGTTCCATCTCATCTCTCCAATACAAACGCTGGTTTTCCCCTTTCATATGACAAAGCTTCTTCATATCCCCAAAAAATTCATGCTTACTACCATTTTGGTATCTTTATTCAGCTAGATCACCCTCCTCATGTCCAATAATTCAAGATCCATTCATCTTTCTTGATACCACTCAGGCCTTACCTTCCAGGTAATAGTTTTTCTAAATATCCTATTCTGTATTATCTCTTTTTAAGCTCATAGTAATTTCACTGTAAATTACTCTTTTAACACCTTCTTTATATGCAGTCTTGGGCTATTTGCAACTGCTGACTTCATTCTTGAAAATCATTCAGCCAATACTACTGCTCTGAGGTTGTCATTTGATCAAGCTTGTATATTACCACCAATTCTGAGAGGATCTTTACCGAAGTACAGTATAATAGACTGGGACAACAAACCAACAATTTATGTAAACTGATATGGCAAACAAAGCAATATAGTACTTGCTCAGTCCAGTCCTTCTCTGAGTATTTTCATTTTAAGATATCACCTTGAACTACAATGTTACCTCACCCAGCCTAGCAAACCTCTACCTTCACTCCACATTTATTTTCTGGCATTATATGAATTCCCCAAATTTATTTTTATCTTTCATACTTAAAACTAAACAAGGTGACTGAATAGTGGCACTAGTTACCATGCACTATCACCAGGAAACAAAGGCCAAGCCCCAGTCAAAATGGCTAAGAGATGTTTCCCAGACTGTGCAGGTATATACTGTATCACTCCTCTATTGTCTGCCATTACCTAAATTAGCAGCCTAGAATTATCAAAAACGTGGAAGGTGCTTACTTTTTGCTCACTGCAGCATAACCTCAAAATGCATCCTACTTCCCATTCCCATCTTCTAAGTGGGATATTAAACAGCACTGGATTGCAGGCCAGGGTGAAAACTTTGACTACCAAGGCTTACACAGAGCAGTGTCAGAAGTCTCATGGATCTCTCAACTTTGCAAGTCCATCCAGGCACCTGAGGCTACATATCTTGATAAATGGATTATCTGTACATTCACCTTTCAAATTCAGTTTCAGAAATGGATTTTGTATTAAAAAAGTATATGTTGCTTTTTCTTAAAGCCAGAGAAGATGACCTAAAAGCATTTGTTCTTGGCATCTAGCACATGCTCAGTAAATGTTTATTGAAACTTATGTGTGATAAACAGAACCACACTTTACAAACTCAGTTAAATGTTCTGTACAAAACGGAGACTTGATTATTCTGTACGATCAGCATTTTATGGTTACAACAGAGCATTTTCAGAGTACACTAGTGTTGACAAACAGATGTCACTAAACTGCCCACTTAAACCATTTAGCAGTATCAGTCTCAGTGTCAGTAACAGCAGAAGCGGTGTATGCACTGTTCCATAAAAAATGCCTTAGTCTCTAAAAGAAATTTTCTTTTATTATCAAAACATGCTTTCCAATCACAATTAAAAGTTTATCTCAGCCAGGCGCCGTGGCTCATGCCTGTAATCCCAGCACTTTGGGAGGCCGAGGCGGGCGGATCACAAGGTCAGGAGATCGAGACCATCCTGGCTAACACGGTGAAACCCCGTCTCTACTAAAAATACAAAAAAATGAGTCAAGCATGTTGTCGGGCGCCTGTAGTCCCAGCTACTTGGGAAGCTGAGGCAGGAGAATGGCATGAACCAGAGAGGTGGAGCTGGCAGTGAGCCGAGATCGCACCACTGAGCTCCAGCATGGGCGACAGAGCGAGACTCTGTCTCAAAAAAAAAAAGTTTATCTCCACTTCTTCCCACTTACAACTTTATAATTTGTAAGGAAAAGTATTCTTTCACTGGCTAACTGAAGGAAAGACAGTAAAACAATTCATTTATTAAAGACATTTAAATGTAAACTACAGTAAGAGGTACTTTAGGGAACACATAGAAGTTGACTACTAACGAATTTCATAGGTTATGGACAGTCTAGGTGTTTTCAGTAGTTCCTATGCCCATTTATCTGATTAACAAATAAGTCACTTTATTTAAGAAAACACTGCAAATACTCCTAAATGCATTTCTTAGTAGACTCTTAAGAAAAAATTAAAAATATACAGATTACCCCAGTCATAGAAAACTGACTTGGTCAAAAATCAAAGTAAATCCAGTCAGTGGTAAATTGAAGGCTCCAAGGATTCACGACAATGCAGATTCACTGTTCTGGAGGCCATCAAATTCATTCCAAATAAGGACAGCTTATAACTTGCAATCTTTCATATTTACTACTGATTCAGCAATTGTATTCCAAATAATTAAAATTATGTACTACTTAGAAAATCACAAAGGTCTGCTTAAAATCACATTATCAGTTTCAATTTTAATCAGTATTTTGGGGAAAGGTTAGTAACCTGGAATTTCTGGGCAAAGGGATTGGATCCTCATCCTCACCAATTTTTTTAAAACATCAGGCCGCAAAACTAGTGTCAAATATAACTTCATGAAAACTAGCACACTTAAAATTACACATGATGAGTATAATCATTTGAAAGATACATGAAAGCCTTTTCTGTTTTGATTTGTTTTTTATCCCATACCCATAGTGTCTCAAGAATAGGGTCAGGTACAGTCTGGTCTCAGCAAAAGAATTACTAAAGAAATCTGCATATCCACAGTTACACTTCATGCAACTTGCCTCCTACTAAATTAACTTGGAAGCAATCTAATTAGTTATCTATTCTGCACTGTAAGTAGTGATAAAGACACTAACCCTTGCATTTCACATTTATTACTTCAAATTCCCATAACAATCTGACAAGGTTGGTACTGTTGTCTGTCACTTTACATTTTAATAGACTAAGCATCAAAATATTTGTCCAAGGTTGCTAGGCTAGTTAGAGATAAAGCCTGGGAACTAAAAACATATACCTGACTCAAAAGCTCTTTGTCCTGGAGTCCTCAACGGTTAGTCCCAGCTCTCTTGCATGAGGCCTAAAATCACACTTACCCATAACACAATTAATCACAAATTCAGTCACAGTGAATTCACTTCATTACTTTTTGTAAATAACGAATATTAACAATTCTAAATGAAACTTCATCTTCTCCACATTCTGAATCACCCACAAAGTATTATACTATAAAAATTAGTCATTTCTGTAATTCCTTTCAGTATATCCATTCTCATGTCTATTCTCTTGAGGAAAAAAAAAAAAAAAAAAAAGACCTTACCAATAGCATATGCTTCTCTGCTCCCAACAAACTCCTTTTGAGTTTGACTCTATCACTTCAGAACTTCAATTCTACGTCACAGCAGTTCCTGAACTTCAGTGGCAATCATATCAGGATTTTTCTCTTACAATGGCTTAAGTGACTGTGTTACACTGTGTTTTATACAAGACACAGATGACTTCTAGAACTTACCTAGCTCTACAATTCTGCATGAGTGTATGATTCAAAATCAAATCTAGAAAATATTCTTAGAATATGGAGACGGATGTTGTTTTCTACAGGCCATACCATTACCATTTATTTTATAAGCTATTTTACCTTAACAATTTTCTGAAGTTTTTTTTAATGTTTCCATTCCCACTAACAATTTCATGTCTTTTAAACTGTTCAAACCAGTAATATATGTATTGTTTTGTATCTTTGCTAATATCACTTAGAAAAAATTAGAACCTGATAAGCTCAAGTTCCATAAATAATGTAGACACAAGATAAAACGTTACAGTGCCAAGATAACCGCCTTATGAGTTAAAACTTTTAAATGAATTCTGCAGTCTTTAATAAGAGTTCACTCAGTATTAAGCCATCCATACAATAAATAACAATACTGCTTAATTTGTATAATAATACTGTATGTCCTTGTGAATGTCTGAATAGAAATATATTAACTATCGTCCAGGCGCGGTGGCTCACGCGTGTAATTCCAGCACTTTGGGAGGCCGAGGCGGGAGCATCACGAGGTCAGGAGATTGAGACTATCCTGGCCAACGCAGTTAAACCCCGTCTCTACTAAAAATGCAAAAATTACCTGGGCGTGGTGGCGCGGGCCTGTAACCCAGCTACTCCGGATGCTGAGGCAGGAGAATCACTTGAAACCGGTAGGCAGAGGCTGCAGTGAGCGGAGAGCGTACCACTGCACTCCAGCCTGGCGACAGAGCGAGACTCCGTCTCAAAAAAAAAAAAAAAAAAAAAAAAAAAAAAAAAAAAAAAGAAAAGAAAAGAAAATTAAAGAAAAGAAATACATCAATAGCAAGTAGAAAGCAGTATAGGGATTTTAAATTATTATACTGTTACTCTTCAGTATAATCAACACACATTGCAGGCCTCCTCTTTCGGGGTATTCCACCAGTTACCAAACTTCCAATATTTTAACATGAATTTAGGAAAAACTCCACTTCTTACATTAGGAGACATAAATCTCCATAAGACTGGTTTCTATACAACTGCAATAATGTTGTAAATTATCTAAGTTTTGATTTGGGGGAAGAGGAAAAAACCCTAAGAACAAACGAAGTACCATGGTTTTCTGTGTTAAATTCTAGAAAGCTATCAAATGTATAGGATTAAAGCACTACCGTAGACACTTTTTGTCACTACGATTCTAAGACATTAAAATACTGTTAAAATGCTAGTTGAAAATCATATTCTTAAGCACAGAAAAATACACTGTATTCCAGAGCATTTCCTTGTTTATCTCCTATCAAGCCTAAAACTCAACTAACACTTCTTTCAAACAGCTGGCAAACTCCCTTTTCTGAGAGGAGTGACTCATAAGTTATAGGAAATCCACCAAAACTATGTTTTTTTTTCCCCCAACAAACTTAATAACAGGCACAGAAAGGGGGGCGGAAGGCCAGAAAGAGAACAGACAGAGAAGTGCTTTCAGTCTGTTTACTCCAAGGGCGCCACACCGTGCCAATATCCAGAGCTTCCTAAAAGCAAATGTTCAAACTGCAGTTTCTGGACACACTGTCCTAAAAGTTGAACAGATCCTTCAAGCCCATGCACCAAGAAATTCTGAAAATAAATAACTAGGTACTGCAAATCTACAGCACTCCCATCACAGAAATCTTTCAAATTACAAATCCCCTAATTAGGCGCGGAAAAGAACACCGTACTCATCCCTAAGAAAACCGACACCTTGTTGACCAAAGAGAAAGGCAGGCAGGTTCATCTCCCACATCCAAACCACAAAGCCAGGCTTCTACTAAATAAATTCCTCAAATACACTCTAATCTGAGATGAGGTAAGGAGGACTATGTAATGGTCCTCCTTGCCTGATACCTTAGAAAGGGGGAGGGGCAAAGGTTGGCATTCTAGGACAGCAGCTACTATGCCACATGGGCCTGGTCCTCGGTGATTCCAAGCGGCCCTTCTGCCCTTCCCTTCCCAGAGCAGATCCTTCATCAGCTCCAAAATTCGCCCAACGTTCTTCCCGCCTGGAGGCCCCCACGTTCCAGGCTTGGCTCCCACGCTCGCCCTCGTTCCTGTGACTCTCGGTCCCCGTCGAGACCAGGAGGAGGAGGAGGCCGCCGCGGCATCCCCAGTGAAAACCCCCTACCCGCCGGCTCACCTGGTCCCCCCCACGTTCAGTTGGACGATCTCGCCGCTGCCGGCCGCCGCCGCGGCGAAGCTGCCGCAGTGCCCTCCTGCCATCTCCGGCGGCTCCGGGCGCGCTCGCCGCCCTCCTTCCCCAGCCGGGACCGCCGAGCCCGGGGCTGTAGCCCGAGGCAGCGGAGACGGCTGCAGGGCCAGCAGGGCGGCGGCGGCCGGAGGGCGGGGGTTGCACGGGGCTTCCCCCACCTTCCCGGCGGCCGGGCGGGGCTTGCTAGCTTCTGCCCCTTCCCCCGTCAATCCTGCGGCGCACAAGGGCGGCCCGGCCTCCACCTTTCGCGGCCTCCAGGCCGCCGGGCCGCCCGGGCCTCTCCTCCGCTTTCGGCTGCCACCGACGCCGCCGCAGCCTGCCTGGGAGGAGGGGTCACCGTTCGGGACAAAATACCGCAGCGCTCACGCTTCGCCCGCCACTGCCTCCTAGAAGAAGGAGGAGGAAGGAAAGGCCAGGGAGGAGCTTCCCAAGGCCGCGGGGTCGGCACATAGGGAGGCTAGGGGAATGTGCTCCTGGCCAGCCGCCTGCCCGCGCGGGATTCCATTTTTTCCCTCCCCTTCTGGGGCTCCGATCCCAGCCCCTCTCTCTTTTACGTTTCAGATTTTCTAAAACGAGGAAGCTGATTCGCAGATTGAGGGAAGATCTGGGCAAACTATCTACGGATCTTTATGACCCACTTTGTCCACATGGATTGGGAAAGGAAAAACTAATCCTAGAGGTAGTAAAAGTTGATGCCTAAATGTAGGCAGTGCAAATGCAGGGAACATTTGGGGAGTTTAAAACCTTATAGAGTTTACCCCAGAAAACTGCTTACTTTACCTTCTTTATTTTAATCCCCAATCTCTCAAGCAGTTTTTTTGTTTTGTTTTTTGTTTTCGTTTGTTAAGCAGGAAGGAAACCAAAGGACAGAAACCCCTAGGCTGTGTAATGCCCAGCAACCTATTTCTGGACTATAGTAAGCACTCAACTAATGTTAGACTCACACCGGTAGCACACAATTTTATGCGCTTGTTTATTTATTTGTTTTTGCTTTAAACGGTATATATTCAAACCCAAAACCTTAGTGGCTATTAAAATATTTTTTAAATCGGAATACTGTAATACCTGATGCCGTGCTAACAAAGGCTAACAAATATAGTGCGTTATGTTTCAGAGGTCATTAGTTTGTGGTACTAAATTCTTAACATGAATGGTGTTTTGTTATAGTTGTACCATAATAATTCAAACTGATAATGTATCTGATGTTAAGTTTTTATTCTCATTGTCATAATTTTTACCAAAACATAAGAAATGGTTTCTGGCAAGCATACCAATGATGTGATATACTCTATCTAGATTCGAATTGAAAGAGGTTAGTAGTACATATGGATGTAAGATACGTATTATTTATCCCAGTTCATGATAAGATTAATAATAGCTAATTTGTGTTTATCATATGCCAGGTAGTTTAGATATTTTGTCATCTTTCTTCTTCACAACTATTGTTATAATTATTTTTAAAAAAGGAAGTTCAGAATGAAAATGATCAGAAAACTTGCTCAAAATTACATAGGTAGCAAGTGGGATGGCAGGAATTTCATGGCAAGCAGTTTGAATTCAAGGCCACTATTCCCCATCCTTAACACTCCATTGTACCTCATTATCTTCCCGTTAGACAGGGAAGATGAGTAACAGTTCAGGTTAAAGTAGGGGCAAACTAGGAATCTAAATCAGGGTGTCCAATCTTTTGGCTTTCCTGGGCCACATTGGAAGACAAATTGTCTTTGGCTACACGTAAAATACACTAATACTAACGATAACTGATGAGCTTAGAGAAAAAAAAAAAAGAAAGTTCATGAATTTGTATTGGGCCACAATCAAAGCCTTCCTGGGCTGCATGCGACCCATGGGGCTGCAGGTTGGACGAGCTTGCTTTAAACAGTGTTAACTGCCTTTGCCTAACACGTAATATCTGCTTCTATCAGGATGTGAAACTTTGCTTTAAAATTTGCAGTCGAGATTTAGGTGGTAAAAGAGCCATTTAATTTTCCTTAGGTTCAAACCTTGGAAGAATATGAAAGAATACTTGCTAACAGCTTTTGAATCCAAGAGGCAACTTGGAGTTAGAATAAGGCCTTATAAATTAAAAAATATATATATTTGTGAAAAGACTTCTTATTTTTCCTGAAATAAATGAAACTGTGTTCATCTATTACAGTGTACTTAACTATTAGGAGAACATCTCTTCAAGAGAAGGAAAAGTTCTCAGTATTTTATAAAACAAATGGTCATGACTTCTTGATATGTCCAGATCAATATAGAAATATCTGAAGGCATTTCTTGCTCATAAAACTTAAAATTAGGATATGACTTAATTTTTAAGAATTAATTTTTAACACCATTAACAAAAACAAACAGTAGAATGAGAAAAAATATTTGCAATATGTATCAAATGATTGAAAATCTATAATATCTGATCATTTATGTATACATTCTACAAATTGAGAAAACAAGTAATGAAAAATATGGAAAGAATATCAACAGGCAAATGATAAAAACACTAAAATGCTTATTAAAACAACAGAAAACCGGCTGTAGTGGCTCCTGCCTATAATCCCAGCACTTTGGGAGGCCGAGGTGGGCGGATCACGAGGTCAGGATGGTGAAACCCCGTCTCTACTAAAAACACAAAAAGTAGCCAGGCATGGTGGTGTGCACCTGTAGTCCCAGCTACTGGGGAAGCTGAGGCAGGAGAATCACTTGAACCTGGGAGGTGGAGATTGCAGTGAGCCGAGATCACCCCACTGCACTCCAGGCTGGATGACAGAGCAAGACTCCATCTCAAAATAAATAAACAAATAAATAAATCAGAAAAAACTTATTTTTACTTATGAGATAAGCAAAAATTGAGAGGTTTAATAAAATCCAGAGTCAGTGAGAGTGTGAAATGATCATACTCATGCGTTGTTGATTAAATTCTGAATGAGTACAGAGTTTTTGGAGGGCACCTCAAGAATATCAACATTTTAAATGTACATACCCTTGACCCAGCACTTTTCTTCTAGGAAGATATCCTATAAACATTTTGCACAATTGGAAAAAGAACATGTGAAGAAGAGCATGTTCATAGTAGTAGTGTTATAATAGCAAAAACCTAGAATCAGTCAGAATGTTTAACAATAGGGGAATGATTTTAAAAATTATATTGGAAGCTATAACTATTTTGGGGGCAACTTCATGTGAACTGACCAGAAACAATCTCCAGTATATTATTTAGTGGGGAAAAAAATCAGGTTACAGAATAATACATTATAAGTATAATCTCATTTATTTAAATAATGGAAAAACTAAAATCATGTGTCTATCCACTTATATTTCTATATAAAAAATACATATTAAACGATGAAGAAACATACATATATATTCTATTAGTTCTGTCCCTCTAGTTCTGAGACTGGGTAAACTC